GCGGAGTGGGGCGGTGCGGGGATGCGAGGGGCGGGGCGCCCTCGTCCCCTCCCCTCCCCGACTGCACTCTGACCATGACCGTGACAGCGGCCCCGATGCAGCGGGCTCGGGACTTCCCCCTTGCATCCAGGAGCGCCCGGTCGCGTGTCAGTTCTTCCGCGACCCCTTCCGCTGACCAGGGCCGCGCCGTTGGCGGGGCTCAGGGTACTCCGCGCGGACTGTATAGCGCCGGCTGGAGCCGCGCCGCGGCGCTCCGGGCCCGGGAGCGGGCTGCCTCCCCATTACAACCTATCTATGATATTCTGAATCAAAGGGGAAACTTTTTCCTCCCCTCTCTTCCTTTCTTTTTTTTTCCTCCCGCGTCAGGTGGGGGTGGCGGGACCGCTCGCGGGGAGGGGAGGGTAAGATTTAAACCCGCTTCATCGACCAGGCGCCCCGCCACGCCGCGCCACGCCGCGCCCGCGCGGGCCAATAGCGGGCCGGGACCGCCGCTATGCCTGCCTAGTCATTAAGCCTCCCATAAAATTTTGGACGATTCGTCAATAGTGGGCGAAAGAACGGGAGCGAGAGAGAGTGAGGCGGGGAAGTGAGCGAGAAAGGCATCTGCGGGGGTGAGAGAGAAAATGAGAGAGAGAGAGACAGAGAGAGAAAGCGAGAGAGAGAGAGAGAAAGAGCCGCGGCAGCAGGGGAGTCCTCCTCCTCCCTCCTCCACGGGGGGGTGCGACTGCGACAGCGGCCGCCCGCCCGGCGGGTGCGACAAGGACGCCGACACGCCGACCCTTCTATCCCTTTTATATTTTTCGTACGGCGTGTCTACTCTCCTCCGCGCTATGAGTTATTCCTGCGTCTGTTTCCGCGGGGTCCTAGCGCGCTGCTCTCTCTCTCTCTCCCTCCTCCCGCGCTCGCCTGCTCGGCTTATGGAGGTGAGGAGGGGGGTGGGGGAGGGGAAGGGGGCGTCCATAAATTTGCGGGACAGGATTTCTCTATTCGTCCTCCCTTCGCATTTTTATTCCAATCTCCCTGCCGGGCCGGCGCTGCCGCCGCTCTGCTGTCCTGTCCTTCCCCGCCGCGCCTTTCCTCCCCTTCGGCTCGTCCGCGCGCCCCGGCGGCGTCCCCACTCATACACGCGCCCCTTTCTCTCTCCTTTTTTTTATTTTTTTGTTTCAAACTAGATGGCAGGCAGTACTCCGCCCTCCGCCCCGTGTCAGGTGGCTTACGCACGCCCCCGCCTCCCCCTCTCCCC